AAAAAGAGGGACATGTCCCATGAGATGAGTTGGCTCAGTGGCAGCAGCGATGGGCTCAAACAACATTTGCGAGGATGGCACAGAACTGGGCTCTGAGTCAGAACCGACCAGACAGCACCTAATAACCATAGTCTTTATAGGAGCCGATCACCAGATCTTTCTCCCCCGGAGATGCTGGATGAGTTTGAACCGCCAGCCTTTCTGTTAGTGGGTGTGTACTTAACCAGTGCACTCCTCGGGGTCCCTTACATTGAGTAGAGATACAGCCATCTGATCTTCGTGCCCTGGTTAGTTTAGACAAAAACTATCAACGCCGTGGGGCTGACAACACACAGACACTCTCTCTTGCTCACTCAGGAGACTCGGTGAGCACTTAGTGAGCACCTACTGTGTACCTCCATGCTGAAGACATTGGGGTGAGGTGACCAGTCCTCCATCCCAGGGACGGGCTGCGCTTTGGGCTCTGACTGGGTGGAATGTTCTGAGGTTTGGCCTCAGTCTGCTTCTCCCACGCAGACCTAGGGCTGTCTCCAGGCCTGGCAGGACTGGCCCAGAAAAGGAGGACCAGGGATTTTCCGAGGATTTCCCAGTCTTCCCTCAGGCTGCCTTTGTAGGGATGTGGTGTGGGCCTGTGAAGGTGTGGCCATGGGTTAGTCACTGCAGACGTCTGAGAAGCCAGAGTTAATGGAACAGAGTTTCCTGGGGGCTCTCTGAGACCCCTGTGGTCTCCCTCAGGGGTGGGTCCTGGGGCCACTCCTAGCAGGGACAGGGACAGCCACTAGACAGCCAGATACCTCCACACAGCCGGAGTGCACGCGACATTCTCAGTAACACCTCTGACGCCTCCTGTTTAACCCCCTGGGTGACACACACAGTGCCACTGAACTGCCTACTGAAAGGTTGGAGATTCATACGCACCCAGTGGCACCATGGAAGCAAGGCTATATAGAGAGCACCTCTGAGTTCCAGGTGGTCAGGCTGCACCAGGACCAGCTAGATGACCACTGGACTGAGCAGCTGCCCCAACTACAATAACATTCTCAACAACAATTAAAAGTCATAAATTAATTTTAAAAAGACAAGAAAACTCAGTGGAGCACAGTTCTACTCTGATCCATATGGGGCCCCGTGACTCCAAGAAATGTTCTGTCCCTACAAGAGGTCACCCTGGCTTTGTGGACACCTACTCTTATGAGGGCTGTCAAGTGGGACGCAGGTAGAGCTGGAAGGAGGGGCTTGAGGGGGACGATCCAGATAAGACCCTGGTGATCCCGTGCTCTTCCTCTCACCCCAGTCTGGCTCTGGGCCTGCTGCATCCGGCTCCCAGCCAAGAGCGTGCATCGCTTTCTCCCCACAGATTGCAGTGACCTTCGCCATTGTCCTTGGGGTCATCATCTACCGCATCTCCATGGCCGCCGCCTTGGCCATGAACTCCTCTCCCTCTGTCCGGTCCAACATCCGTGTCACCGTCACGGCTACTGCAGTCATCATCAACCTGGTGGTCATCATCCTTCTGGACGAGGTGTATGGCTGTATAGCCCGGTGGCTCACAAAAATTGGTGAGTGTCCACACGCCGGGGCCAATCCAATACGAGCCTCAGTTTCCCTATCTCTAAATTGAGAGGCACAAGAATGCCTCCCTAAAGTCATGACTCCACCACCACCCCGCCGCTTCTGGCTGACAGCAACTCTATAGGGTGAGGAGAACTGCCCCTAGGTTTCTGCAGCCCAGACATCTTATGGTTCCTCTGTCTCCCTCAGAGTGGCTGGTGGGTTTCAACCGCTGACTTTGCAGTTAGCAGCCCAACATGTAACCCAGCAGTCATTGGTGAGAGCTAATGAAGTAATGGTATGTTTAGTCACCTCATCAGAGACGGATTTCCCCATGAGCAATGTCAGCCCGGGCAAACTTGTACTTACTAATCTGTAGCGAACAGCTGCACCTGTTATTCAGTACTCACTACCCAAGGTAAGCACGAGTTTACCTGTGCTTATATATGCATCTGGAGTCCTGATGTGGCACTGTGGGCTAATGCGTCAGACTGCAAAGCCATTTGAACTTCAAGGTCGGTGGTTCAAGCTCACCAGCTGCTCCTTGGAAACCCTATACAGGGTCGCTGTGGGTCGGAATCGACTCGATGGCATTTAACAACAACAACATATACTAATCTGGAGCCCTGGTGTGGCGCTGCGGGTTAATGCGCTGGACTGCAAGGTCAGTTTGAACGGAAAGGTCAGCGGTTCAAGTTCTCCAGCCGCTCCTTAGAAACCCTATACAGAGTCAATATGAGTCAGAACCTACTCGACAACACTTTGCAACAACAACTGTGAACAATTTCATATATAATCTCTTGTGAAACTTCACTATAAACTAGTAAGTAAGCACATGTAAGCCCATGCCAACCTTGCTTACTGGGTCCTCCTTTCCTGTCAGGATTGTAACTTTGAAAAGAGACTGATTCTGTGAGAAAGATGTGTGGTGGTGGGAGGGAGACAGGTGCCAGCCAGCCCTAGAAGGAGAATCTGTGAGGTGATGCAGACTTGTGAAACTGTTAACTCCAGGGTAGTAAGTCAGCACAAGGCAGCCCCTGCTTACTCTGCTTATTGGGTAGCCTGACAATGCACCTAGAGCTGCTATAACAGAGACATCAAAGTGGGGGACTTTCAAGAACAGAAATGCACTTTCTCACAGTTCAAGACACTGGAAGACCCAGGTCAGGGCTTGGCTCTAGGGGGGCTGTCCTTCCTGTTTCTTCTAGCTGCTGGCAGTCCTTGTAGGTGTGTCTGCCTCCAGCATCTGTCTGTCTGTCCACCTCTTCCAGATGCCGGCAGCCTTTGTAGGTGCGTCTGTCTCCACATCTGCCTGTCTGCCTGTCTCTGTCTGTCTCTTCCAGCTGCTGGTAGTAGCCTTTGTAGGTGCGTCTGTCTCCACATCTGCCTGTCTGCCTGTCTCTGTCTG